TCAAAGTCACCCAGCTGGCTTTCCTACCTCAGACAGGACTAGAACTCCCCATCTCTTGGTGATGGGCCCAAAGTCCCGCAGCTGGCTTTCCTGCCTAAGGCAGGACTAGAACTCCCTGTCTCCTGGTGATTGCTTCAAAGTCACCCAGCTGGCTTTCATGTCTCAGGAACGACTAGAGGCTTCCCTGCCTCAGACAGGACTAGAACCCACCGTCTCCTAGTTTCTACCTTGGTGCCTGAATCCAGAGACTGACTCTCATTACTTGCCCCCAGGTACAACAGCAGGGAGATCACAAAGGACAGCTACAGCCAGATGTGTGAAACTACCATCTTGAAGTTTTTTACTCCATCATGCTTTAAACCTTGATTTGTTTTAAACAATCATCCTTCCACATAATCCCTCTAATAGGGGGGTCTGCCACAATCTCTAATAATTCTGATTTTTTTTTACTGTCCTTTTTCCTCTTCCTGATTTTAGATACATGTGGATTTTTGAAATATTTCCCCTATAGCTTTTCCCCACCATTGGCCACATTTAAAAACCCTTTGCTCTTTTTTTTCTGTTTTATCTTTCAAATGTCCCTACAAGAGACAGCTTTATAAAATTTAGGACAACTTTATGTCCCAAAACAAAGTGATTACGTTATTCTAATCCAACTTTACAGAATTGTAAAGATTTATAAACCCTGTTGGTTTAAAAATGAATTCCATTTAACTGTTTTTGTTTTACATTTCAATACAGGTTCAAGGTGCCTCTGGTTTCTGTTCAGCGTTAAATTCACATCTTTTGTGCTTTTTGCATCTTCTGCATAACGTGCACAGAAGTGTTGTAATGTGTAAAAATATCAATGGTGTCATAACACAAATGAGATCATCAGAACAGATAATCTTTAGACAACAAAATTTTTGCCAGCAATTTTTTCTGTTGCATCCAGACCCCAATAAATTTATTTGTAGATGAACTAACTTTGAATTATAATTGATTTATTTGTGGTCTCAGGAGATGCAATACAGATGCAATACAATTGATTTAATTTAGTTTTAAATTTAGTAATTTAATTACCAACTTAACTCGCTTTCTGGATTTACGGAACGGTGAATCAAACAGACTGGTTATGCCCAGCACCCCAAATCTCAAAAACAAAACAAAACACCAAGTTTAAAATTAAACCATATTTGTATGTGTGACTGTAACAACTGTGCCTCCCTTTAGTCTTAAAATGTGTCTGAAAAAGTCCTGAAATAATGAAAAATTAAAGACTTTGTATATTTAGTTGTAATTGAGAGGCAGTCTACTTCAGTGGATCTCACTGATAGTTAATTAAATCCATGCAGATCTGCAGATAAATACAAACCTGACCCTTTAAAATAATTTACAAATTATAAATAAAATTAGAATTTAGAACTAAGAAGAAATTTCCAGACAGAACAATTAATCAGTGGAACAACTTGCCTCCAGAAGTTGTGGATGCTCCATCACTGGAAGTTTTTAAGAAGAGATTGGATAACCCACTATCTGAAGTGGTGTAGTTTCCTGTCTAAGCAGCGGGTTGGACTAGAAGACCTCCAAGGTCCCTTCCAACTCTTTTACTTTGTTCTGTTCCATGCCATGCCGTGCCATTCCATTCCATTCCATTCCTTTCTGTTCTGTTCTGTTCTGTTCTAAATTCTATTCTATTATGTAAATATTCAAAATTTTATCCTTTAAAATCAGAGGCTCCTATGCAGTGGTAGGATTCAAAAAACGTTACTACCGGTTCTGCGGGCATGGCTTGGTGGGCATGCCAGGAGAAGGATACTGTAAAATCTCCATTCTCTCCCCATCCCACTAACCTGCTTTCCAGCCCCATTCTCCTGTGCAGGGCAACAAGACCCAGCCCGTCAGCTGGGACTCGAGAGGCAGAGAATAGATGGGAGCAGGGCCAGTGAGAGATGGTTCTCCAGAACTGGTCAGAACCTGCTGAATACCACCTCTGTTCCTATGACATTTGCACAAACCATAAAAACGCAGTAAGCATCACGTTAAATTCTCTCTGTTAAGACTGTGGTTCACTAATTTAAAGTTAGGAGCTAAATTTAAAATGATTATATGTTGGAGATTCCAAAAAAAAAAATCTGTTCAGCATAAATAAATCAAGACTAAAGTTGAATAAAGACTGGATAATGCAATAAATGAAATAAACGGCGGGGTTTAAGAACCAAAGCTGCTTTGTCTAAATACACAGAATAACAGAATTGGAGGGCATCTTAGAGGTCTTCTAGTCCAACCCCATGTTCAAGCAGGATTGTTAGCTGGTATAGTTCTTTAGTTTGTAACTGCAATCCTTTTCATTTAAGAGTTGTCTTTCTGTGATCCAGTTGTTTTATTGGGAATAGATCAGGCTGGGATAATAATACTGTGATAATAATGATAATAATAATGACAACTTAGTTGACTGAGTTTCATGTTTAATGAATTAAATACATAATAATAATCATAATATAATCATAATCATAGGCAGTTATGCAAAGAAGCAGAAGAAACAGTAGATTTTATACATAGTCCTCGACTTACAACCACAATTGAGCCCAAAATTTCTGTTGCTAAGTGAGGCACTTGGTAGTTGAGTTTTATTTCATTTTACGACTTTCCTTGCCACAGTTAAGTGAATCATTGTGTTTGTTAAGTTAGTAACATGGTTGTTAAGTGAATCTGGGCTTCCCCATTGACTTTGCTTGTCAGAAGGTCGCCAAAGAGAATCACATGACCCTGGGACACCGCAACTGTCATAAGTATGAGTCAGTTGCCAAGCATCTGAATTCTGATCATGTAACCATGGGGATGCTGCGACGTGTGTGTGAGAAACTGTCATAAGTCACTTTTTTCATTGCTGTTTGTCACTAAACGAACGTTTGTAATTTGAGGACTATCTGGATTCAGGTCATGCAGAAGATCACACAAACAATTACACAACACAGTCGCCAAAATGATTTCTTATAAAAATAACTGTCTGCCAGTAATGAAAAATTAAGTGGGAACGTAGTGTTGAAAAAATAATTGAAAATGGATAGGTTAAAAATACTGTGGGATATTCTTGGCCCAAACAATCCAGGTTTAATCGTGGTTGAATAAAAGAGAAGTGTGGATCGTTGGTGTGGCGCTACCAGATGATGGTAGAATAGAAGACAAAAATTAGGAGAAATTACGAAGTGACAACATTTGAAAATTGAAATTGAAGGATTGAGGTAAACCTGGCTGGGGGCGGGGTTTCCAGGGGTTATTGGCACATGGGGTATCCTATCAAAAGGAAAATCTGGACATTGGCAAGTTTTTCATTGGTCAATTCCAAAAGGCCCCACTGCGTGCATCTGCAGGACAGGGTGTCCAACCTTGGCCACTTTAAGATCTGTGGACTTCAAGAATTCTTTCTTTCTTTCTTTCTTTCTTTCTTTCTTTCTTTCTTTCTTTCTTTCTTTCTTTCTTTCTTTCTTTCTTTGCATACTCATCTCCTTCCTTCCTTCTCCTCATTCCCATCTCCTTCCTTCCTTCTTCTCATTCCCACTTCCTTCTTTCCTTCCTTCTTCCCATTCCCATCTCCCTTCCTTCCTTCTCATTCCCATTTCCCTTCTTCCTTCCTTCTCCTCATTCCCATCTTCTTTGTTCCTTCCTTCTTCTCATTCCCATCTCCCTTCTTCTTTCCTTCTCCTCATTCCCACTTCCTTCCTTCCTTCTTCTCATTCCCATCTCTTCTTTCTTCCTTCTCCTGATTCCCACTTCCTTCCTCTCATTCCCATTTCCTTCCTTCCTTCTTCTCATTCCCATCTCCCTTCTTCTTTCCTTCTCCTCATTCCCAGGTCCTTCCTTCCTTCTCCTCATTCCCACTTCCTTCCTTCTTCTCATTTGCATCTCCCTCTTTCCTTCCTTCTCATTCCCACTTCCTTCTTCTCATTCCCATTTCCTTCCTTCCTTCTTCTCATTCCCATCTCCCTTCTTCTTTCCTTCTCCTCATTCCCATCTCCTCATTCCCACTTCCTTCCTTCCTTCTTCTCATTCCCATATCTTCTTCCTTCCTTCTCCTCATTCCCACTTCCTTCCTTCTTC